TATATATATATATAATGAACAAGTTTAAATTGCCTATTGGCAGCGAGAGTATATTTGACATACTTTACTCTCGTACTTAATTTACTCGTGTGTTATTAATAAATTCTACTTACATAATGTTATAATTGTTACACGTTCGTTTAACTATACTAATTTCGTAACTCCTACATTCGCGTATACACAAAGATTAATACACATTTATCTTTCTACTTAAAACGTGCAATTTGCATACACGTTGTTACACATATGTTATAGATTTAATTTTAATAATTAGATTATCCAATCTTATTATGAAACAAAATTAAAAAATTTAATTAAAAATAATATATTAGGTGTACAAAAAAGTTCTGAGCTTTTTTTTGTAAAATTCAATCTTTATTTAAAAATAATCGTACGGAAATGGCTTGCTGCGTAACGCCAAGCTGTTCTGCAAGCTCCTTTTCAGTTTGCGCAGAGTTTATATCCAGCAGTGCTTGCAATTCGTCCGTTTCAATCTTTTCAGGGCGTCCAGCACGCGATTCATCTTTAAGACTGAAATCTCCTTGGCGAAACTTTTGATACCACCTTTTGCATGTTGCATGACTTACAGCGTTCTCTCCATATGCAGCACAAATCATTTCAGTGGCTTCAGCAGCATTTTTCTTCAGATGAAACGCGAAGTGGATGGAAAATCGAATATGCTCTTTTGTAATTGCCATCGTGAACACTACTGATTTTTGAGGTTATGTGCATCAAACGCCAAACCGTATCGCATTTCAGGAGGTTAAATGTTACTGTTTTAAAACCCCAAAAGGGCGGGAAGATATATAAAATTTAAATTGTTATTTCGGTTGTATCAAATCTAAAGCTCAGAACTTTTTTGTACACCTAATATGTACTTTGTAACAAAAAAGAAATCTCATAAATAACAAAAGAGATTCGGACATATAAAGAAATATATTTTTATTTGATTTAATTTGAAATGTTTTAATACGTTTACACAATCAACATTTACATTATTATACATGCAAAAATAAAACAGCGATGTTTGTACAATGAATTTCATAAATAATAAGCGATACAAATTTAATATTCTGACATGCGATTCAACTGTGTTACTAGTTATCATTCTCACCCTTGTCGCACAAATGTATGTGTAATGTGAGTTTTTTGTTGATAGAATCTTTGTTATTAATCATTGATCCAAAG